GTCATGGCTTTTTCTTTTTGTTGGATTCTTCCTGTTTGCATTTAATTTCTTGTTGTGCCCAATGGATTCATTCTTTCTAATGGGCTTCCTGGGGTTGTGATCCTCATTTTCTTTTCCTAGGATATTGTCTAAAAGTTTTTGGAGAGCTGGTTTGGTATTCATGAAGTTCCTCAGGTGCTCTTTGTCATGAAAGTATCTTATTTTTCCATCAATTTTGAAAGATCATTTTGCAGGGTATGTTCCGGAATCGCAGAAAGGAATGTATGGGGACACAGAAGTTGGGTAAAAAAACAAAGCCTATACTCGCTAGCGAGGGGGATCGCCAGAAACTTATCTGATCAATGTCCACCCCATCCTTTGTTTTAACATTTCCTTTTATATCTTCTTTTAGCCATTACCTCATTTCTGGTGGTCTTAGTAAAATTTCTGTTTCACTTTTACAGTTAGTTCCTATTAATGGTTATAGTCACAGACATATAACAAACAGATGGCACCTAAAACACATACATTGTAAACTACCCAAACATTTCGACTTTGCTTTTCTCCAGACTGAATGTTATCTACAGTTAGGTTACAGGTCAAAGGTTCAGTTAGCTATCAGCTTAAACAATAAGAGTTATGAAAAAGGTAAATCTTAAAGGAATGGATTACTTATTCTACTTCAGCTACCTTAATAACTAACCTATAGTTTGAATTTTCTCTATCAGGTACATCAATCTGGGTTGGAGGCTGTTTTCCCTTAGGGGTGGAAATATGTCACTCGAAGTTCTTCTTGCCTTGAGGGTTTGTGTTGAGAAGTCTTCTGTGATTCTGATGGGCTTTCCTTTGTATGTGATTTGTTTCTTTTCTCTAACTGCTTGTAGAATTTTGTTCTTTTGTTGGGTTTCTGGAATCTTAACTATTATACACCTATGTGTAGATTTTTTTTTTATCATGGCTAGTTGGAGTCCTATACGCCTCCCTTATCTGTCTGTCAAGTTCTTTTCCCCTGCTTGGGAAGTTTTCTGCCATCACTTCTATGAACAGTTATGTCATCTGCACTGTCTCCTGTTTCTTCACTGACTCTCATCAGTCTTATGTTATTTTTCTTTGCATCATCTAACAGCTGCTGGATTGATTTCTCATAGTCCCTTCCTATTTTAAAGAAATTTTTCTTTTCTTCGTCACTAATTGCAATCTTATTTTCTATATCTGAAATTCAGTCCTCACATTGGTTCATTCTGATGCATAAACTTTTAATGGAGTTTTTAATCCCCTGGAAATCTGTTTGCATCTCTTTTATGGAGTCCATTTGTTTCCTATGTTGGGATTCCATCATGTTCCTCAGCTCCTCTATTTTTTTTATCTGTGTCCACTCTAGATTTATTAATTATGTCTTGCACTATGGGCACAATGTCTGCTGTTATCTGAGAAATTATTTCTGATTTCATTATTTCCAGGTCCTCTTTTGTTTCCAGTTCAGGGGTTCCAGGTGGTTGAGTATCAGATTGTTCCATCTCATTTTTCTTTGGGGTTGCCTTAGGTGATCTCGAAGTCTGGTTTTGAGACTTCTTTATGTATCTTCTCATTTCAACAGATGCTGCCTGCTGTGCCTTTGTTGAGGCAACTTTTTGCTCACCCAGGGGTCCTCAATTCTCAGCAAGCCCCTGAGCAGCCTTTTCTCTGCTGCTCACCAGTACACTAATTCCTGGGTTCACAATGGTGGCCTTCTTGATCCCTGAGCTGACTTACTGTCTGGGCGGGCTTCTGGCTGGGGCCTGTGCACACTTGCTATGGCATCTAGGTGTGCCTCTGGCTAGGGCCCCTATGTAGCTGTTGTCTGGGAGGGCCTTTGGCTGGGGGCTGTGCACCCCAGTTCCTGTTGTGTGAGCAAGCTTCTGGCTAGGGTCTCACACACTTACCAATGGTATCGGGATGAACCTCTGGCTGTTGCTTGTGTGCCTGTGCAGCTCTTTGCCAGGCAGGCCCTTGGCTTGGGCCAGAGCCCTGGCTGGGATCTGCTTGCAGCCGCACTGCTCTGGTCCACACTGCTGCTCCCCTAACTAAGGTGATCTGGTGTGCCTTTATTGCAGAAATTTTCTTCACTTTTCTGTTGGGCTTTAATGTTCATCAAGGAGCCTCAGAGAGGCCCTCTTTCTGTTGTTCACTTCTGCTCTATCTTCTCATGCTCAGAACAATGTTCTTTATGACTCTGGCAACTCTGTGGTGTGGATCCAGGGCATGGCTCAGCACAGCCACAGAGGGGTGGGGTACTGGCACCCATGTGGCTCATCTCCTCAGCAATGAGGGGACTCTGCTCCTTGGCCCTCTGAGGCAGTGGTATGGCAGCCCGAGAGGCTCACCTCCTCTGTGCTGGGGGTTGCGGGGGCTCCAGTCCTCAGAACTCTGGGGCAGTGGTATGGCGGCCCAAGAACTCCTTTCATTTAGTGGCTATTGTCTCCATAATCTTTTGCTGCCCCACTCAAGTACCTGCCCTAGTCACTGCTGATTTGTCCACCATCTACAGAAAGACCAACCACCTCAGTCTTCCTGGGACAGAGTAGTTTCCTGGGATGTGGGGTAGTACTAACATGGGGTTGGTTCAAGGCAAATCCAGATAGTTCGTCATCCTACCACCATAGTTGCTACCACTGACACTGCCCCTGGCTTGTGTCTTAGAATTCCAGAGAGAGATAGTGGAGCACACTTCTGTCCCAAGAAAAGTTATCCATTTTTTTTCACCTTGAGTATGCTGCTGGGTGTCCTGGGGAAACACACACCCTCATTTTCCTATAGAACTGTGCAGTTCTATGAGGCTGCCCTACCTTTCCTCAGCCCATTCTCGTCCATCTGACTGTCTACCCTCTACCCCTGCAGCTATGTTGCCTCCAGCCCAAATCTGCCCATGTCACGGCCTCCTTACCTTTGGGAAGGACTTTCTGCACATTCCAAGTGATATGGGCTGTCCTTCAAACTTACTGCAACTGTGTGTGTGTGTCAAGACAGCATGCAGAACACACACTATTTTCTCCCTTAAGATATGCCTATGTGTTATGCCAAATGCTAAAGTGCTAAAGGGCAGAAAAAGTTTACTTCCTTTTTTGAAAAAGAAAAAAATGAAATTTTTGGAGGAGAAATTTCTTAATCTCACCAAAAGATTTCTCTCAAAAAAATCAAAATGAAGATTAATTTGCTGATCTTTATTAAAGCCACATGTGCTCACTTCCAGTGCTTTAGAAAATAGGGAAAACCCATATAAATTTAACCTCCAAAATCATCCTAAATCCCACCATTCCAAGACAACCACTGTTAATATTTGTATTAAGCTGATATATATCCTTCCATTTCACCTATACCTATATTTGCTCTTAGATATATTGTTGAATGCTTTAAATAAGATCATACATGACATAGAAATTATATAGGTTTGCCTACTGTAATAATAACATTATTTTAACTTCTGAATATGTCATGAACATCTTCCCATGTTGACAAATCAACTACATGATTAATGGTTATATAATACCTCATGTGACATGGTAGCCTATGGATGGTCACTCCAGGCATTGAACTTGACCAGGCAGCAGCAGAAATTTTCCAAAGAAAAATTGCTAAGGAAACCTTTCCCTCAGGGAAATACTTCCATTTCACTGTATTGTTGATACCACTTAAAAACCTAACATAATTCCAATTTGCCACAGTAGTTTACAGAGCAGTCCACAAATATCAGGAAGCACATCTTGGTTAAATATCACCAAGAGAAGACAATAGAAAATCCAGAGGCATTCTAGCCTAATAGTGATTCATGTACTATTACTAACAGTAATTCATGTAAGCAGGAAACCATTCTGGAAAATAAAAACAGAGGAGAAAATAAATGAAATATTGGCAATGTCATCCAAATAGGCAAAAAATAAATTTACAAGAGTTAGATAAAGGAACTAGCAATCAGGAAGGAAATATAGATGAAATCATCAGAGAAAATTGAAAAGAGCCCTTAAGAAAAAGAATGCAAATATGAAAAAGGTTCTCCAGAACTCAGAGATTATAGTAGCTAATGAAAAGGAAACACATGAAAAAGGAGAAGTATAAGAAACAAACTCAGAAGTGCAAATAAATATTTAAGTGTCTTCTTAGGTCAAAACAAGCTTTTAATGTGAAATATTTTATACTTAAAATTTTGAAAATGAAGTCAGGTGTGGTAGTACTTGCCTATAATCCCAGGTTTTAAGAGACTGAAGCAGGAGTATGGAGAATTCAAGGACAGCCTGGGATACCTAGCCAAATCTTGTCTCAAACAAAACAAAACAAAAATTGAGCATGATAGAATTCATGTAGATAAATGTATGTACATGTAAGTAAATAATCATAAATAATAAAATTAAACATTTGTGGCCCCACCACACGGCTTTTAAAAAGTAGAAAATGACCTAGATGAGCAAAGTCTTTAGTATTTCCCTTCTTGGCATTCCTATTTCATTGTTTTTCTTTTCTTTTAGTATAACCAGAGGAGAAATAAGGCCTAATTGCCCTCCTCTGTGGGTGTAAAGGAGAAAGGCTGCACTCAGGGGTGGTTGCATGTTGCACATTACGGGAAAATTCAGACAGCTGAGGTTAAGTTGTTTACCAGAGAATTTACTAGTGGATATTGGAAAGCAGATGAACCTTGTGTTACTTTGATTGCTTGTGCCCATGTTAGGGTGAATAAAAGCTCAGTGAGCCAGAGGTTTGGGGCTCCTCTGCCTACTAGAGGTCTGAGTCCTCTGGCTGTCAGCCTGTTAAGCTGACTCTGTGTCTCTTTGTCACTCATCCTTGTTCACCCCTGGGTCAGAGAGAACAAAGTAGCAGATCTGAGTCCCAGAACAAGGCTGGCCAAGTGTGTTCAGCTACAGGTGGTGCCCCAGCATGGCTCACAGGACCCAGGCTCACCTACAATAACCAGATATTTATTTTTTGTTTGGAGTGAGGTCTACATGATTTTAAAGTATATATAATTGCTCTTCTACTGTGTTCTTTTGTAGATAAGACAGTTGCCTAAAGTGGAAGATAGGTGCTGTAGTCTGGTAAGTATCCCCAAAGGTCCATGTGATAATGGTTTCCTCCCAGGGTGGGGCTGTTGAAAGGGCCCTGTGGAAAGATCTTAGGTAATTGAGGGCATGCCTAGGTGATGGAAACTTCAGGAGGTGGGACTTAGTAAAAAGTCCTTAGGTCACTGAGAAAATCTCTCCAGTAAAGACTGTGGGATCCTGGTCTGTCTCTTTTGCTTCATGGCCATGAAATGAACAGTTTGTTCCACCACTTATCCCCGCCATGTTGTGCTGCCTCACCACAGACCCAAGCAATGGGGCCGATAGATTATGGACTGGAACCTCCAAAACTATGAGCCAAAATAAACCTTTTCTCTTTATAAGTTAATGATCTCAAGTATTTCATTATAGTGACAAGAAGCTGATCAATACAGTATATCTGATAAAGTGGTAGAGTGGGTAAAAAGAAAATCTCTTTGCTTAAGGCTAAGGTATGTCCTATGAAGAGCATACACTGAGTCTGATATATCAGGACATGTATAGTAAGCTGGTAGCTAGGAACAATACCTATCTCTTCTCAGAGGCCCTGAGAAATCTCTTACACTAAAAGAAAAGAACACAGACATGAATGCTGGATCCAGCAACAATGCCTGAGTCAGGAAAAAGTAGTGATTCTGATTCTGAATTTAGTATGGGAGCTCTACAACCCTGGGTGCAAGCTTCTTTTTTTTCCCCCTGGTACTGGGGATCAAACCCAGGACCTTGCAATTGCCAAGCAGGTGCAGCACTACTGAGCTACATCCCCAGCTGAGGTGCAAGCTTAATTCTAGAGGGGAACAATGCTATAAAATAAAAGATGGAAGAATTATTCTTCTGCAACTTATAATGCATTGGAGCCCAGAAAACACTGTTGTGACATACCAACACAGAAACTGTGCCAAAAAGACAGAGTCATTCTTCCTCTGCCCTATGAGGGTCTGGGGTATATAATAGGAGGACAAGGTAAAAACCAAATGACACTGTTATGGTTTAGATCTAAAACAGTCTCCAGGGCCAGACATGGTGGGGCACGTTTGTAATCCCAGCACTCTGGAAGACTGAGGCAAGAAGATTCTAAGTTTGAGCTCAGCCTGGCAACTTAACAACTTAGAGAGAACCTGTCTCAAAAAATAAACTAAAAAGCCTCAGCTCAGTGAAAAGTCCCTATGTTAATAGAACAAAAGTAAAAATAAAATACGCCCTGTAAATTCTCCTGTGTGTGGAAGGTGTTTGGATCATAGGGTGCTATACTCATCTGTGGATTAACTCACTGATAAATCCATAGCTGGATATGCTGGCAGGATATGGAACCTGGGGGTGTGACTGGTAAGAGTTTATCTCCCTCCCTGGCTCCTCCCTCTCTGCTGCCCAGCTGCCATGATGTGAGGAGCTTTCCCCTGGCAGACCCTTTTACCATGCCCTTCCTGCCTTGGAACTGGCCAACCATGGATTGAAAATATGAGTCAAAATAAATCTCTCCTTTAAGTTGTGATTGCAGTAGTGTCACCCTACGAACCAAATCTTTAGCTATGGAAGACACTCAACAAAACATTCATTCCCACTTTCCCTCCTACTACTACTTTGATCCACATTCTGCAATTAACTGTTCTCGTTTGAGGCAGCTTGTTGCACAGGCCATTGGCTTTATGATCAGTGGAAGTGGGTGACCAAAAAGAAGCAAGAATGAGCACCATAAACATAAAACACACTTTCAAAGATAACAGCCTGCAAAAGAGGCCACTGAGAAATGATGGATATTGAAATGGGTAACTTGAGGTCATAAAGCAGACTAACTGTATGGTTTATGGATATGGTTTATAAGTGGTATATCCCATTATCTGGCCATGGCAATGGGTTCAGAGACAGAAATGTGGCTTAACCCACTCAGTAGAACCAATGAGTCTTAGTTCCAGGGATTTTCTTAAATCTTACATAGCAAATACACTTTCCCAACAGTCTTTCTTTTAATCTGAGAGGATGTGAGATAAGTATGGCTGTAGCCATCTTATTGCCACATAGAATTTAAGAATAAAACTAACACACACAGGAATGCAAAATAGAGCCAAGAGGTAGAAAGAAACCAAGAATGCTCCTGATAAATTTTCAGTCCCAAGTCTAGTACCATCCGATCTACCTAGGTATCTCCCCTTTACCAGCCTGGCATGTAATAAAACATGGAGGTAGACTCCAAGTTGAACTTAGGGCTCGGATATGGGCAAGTAACCATTAGGGGAGAGAATTTCTTAGGCTGGCTTATCATGGTGTTGGCTTTCTAGATGTTACTTGACCTCAGAGTCAAGCAGAAATAAATTGCATGTCTTTCTTAGGATATGTATTTACAGAGAAACTCCCATTTGGTAAAAAATAAGTGCCCATGATGACAGATAATTCCCAACTCATAATGACTCAACATTTCTTTTTTACTGTATGATGATGCCAAAACAAAATCCTTTCAGTTGAAACCATACCTATAATTGTGAATGCTGAAATTTCTCGGGCTAGTAATATGATATTCTCTCACAATGCTGGACACTGGCAGCAAGTGGTCACTCCCAGACAGCCAGGGTGAGATCATGAAGGAGACAATCAATACTCTACACTGTTCTGTGCTGTTAAGTTATGATGTTTGGTAGGTTTGGGTGGATTACATAGACATTTGCCTTATGATATTTTCAACTTGCAATGGGTTTATTGGGACACATAACCACATCAGAAATTGAGAAGTAGCTGTGTGGACTTGGCCATTAAGACAATCCAGATTTCTAAACCCATGAAATACAAAACAGACTTGTAATTGATAAAGCCCCCATAAGAGCTTCTTCTCCAAAGCCCTTTTTAGATATGGCCATATTTGTCAAAAGATAAAGGGCATTATCCAGAAAACACCAAAGGTAACCAGATAGGCTGACCAAGGAGCTCATATTTATGACAAGAAAAGGGAATCTTGTTCCTGTAAATGAAGATACGTGTGTAATGGGTCTTACATTTCCTTTTCCCCAGTGAGTTTAAATTGTTTTTATTATATTTATTCTTTCCTCTTCTACCATTCTATGTTGTTGTAATGTGGTGATAAAGTATTTAGTAGCATTCATCTAAGCATGTAATGTGTGACATCAAGATCCAACTGAGACAATTGAACACCATCCTAGAATCTTTATGTCAAAGTCAGATTGATTACCTTGATAATACTTGGGATGGTCTCCTTTTAGGGGACAGGGGAATCTGGACAACAGAAACCAAGAGTACTCCATGCATAGCAGAGAGTCCTATTCAACCTCATGGTGGGTAATAAGACCTGAAGCACCATTTGCCCCCTTGGAAAGGTGGCATTGTAAACTGTGTATATGTGCAGTGGCTCTAGGATGCAGAAAATGCCAAGTGGACAGGAGCTGACACATTCTCTGATGGCTGAATGACTGCATCTACTGTCTCCAATGTCATTGCAGGAGAAGAACTCTAATCACACACCCAATTCTGGATTGCAGACGGTGAGACTAGGGGAAGGCAATTCTTAAAATGTCAAACAGGAACAACATTATCACAGAGAAAAGGAGAGAAGAAATTTTCAATCAAGATAAATATGTAAATAAAAACTTAAAGGAAAATAATAAGAATGAACAAAAAGATCCAGCTAACAAACTCAATTACAAAAAAATTAATTCACTACTCTTAAAATGCAATTTCAAAATGCTCTTGATAATTACTTTGAAGTAAGTACATGGTTTTAAAGATAGACCCAAGTTATAAACCTAAATATAACTATTTGGGATAAGAAACACCAATGTGATTTTCCTCCTCTCACACACACTGTTACACATTTCTGACACCAGACATGTGGGGAGATGTTTCCCACTTCAAGTGTCTTGAGAAGACACTAGGCAGATGTCCTACAATTTAAGTCACTTCTCATTTTCATGAAAACCTGGAAATAGCATTAGATCCTACAGGTTAATAGCTCAGTAATTCAAGACTATTTCCTACTTCAGGAGGATTAACAATGATGGAACAAAGACCAGTAGCAAAATATAGCTTCTCCAGACACTGAATCAAGACACTTGGAAAACAGTTTGTTGATGAAAAAAGAAGTAGATCTCCAGAAATTGGGAGGGAGAAAACAGGAAAACTAGAAACTACAGAGAAGCTACAGAAACTGAGAACAATGCAGAGAAAAGAATGAAGCAATGAGGAACACTAACCTGGCTCCCAGGAAGGGGGACCTGTCTCTACTAACACAAGGTAAAACTAGAAAGAGTTGGCAGCTCCAGGGAGAAATAACAGACCAGGCTGGCACTTCTAGGCTCAAGAAAAGCCCACAGCTATTGTAAACTGTGAAAACAGTGTCGGGTTTTACTCTGGAAGAAACTTCTTTCACATGGCAGGCTAGAGTTGGAGAAGAAATCTGAGGCAGCACCTGCCATATTCGAGACTGTTTAACCAGGAGCCTTTTTGAGAAGGAGTTAATTGTTTAAAACAGAGCTACAGAACAACTACACAACTTCATTTCAGAATTTCTAGAGTCACCTTACCACAGTGACTGGGGAATAGACAGCAACAAGAGACAATCATGGAGAGCATAGGCTAGACATAAACCCCCTGAGATGTTTAAGCTCAGGCCAGGAAGGTCACAAGGCTCTTGCCTGCTGTGATGAGAAGCCAGGCCAGTCATTTGTGGGTTTTGGAGAAGGCTGGGTCTGAAAGTGCTGGCAATAAGGCCAGCTAACAGAAGCCCCTCCACCCCCACCCCACTCCCTACACTCAACACATAGCTCAGTGGTCTGTTTGCTCTTCCCATCTGCCAAATGTGATCAGAGTATGCCTCAGTTTGATGGTTGCCACAGCCTGGGGGGTACTCACAGAGGGGCCTCTGAAGGGGGCAGGCAGGAGACACCTCACAGCCCCACAGAGTGTAAAGCTAATGAAGAAAGTTGTGAGCTGTGGTTGGGACACAGTGAGGATGGAAAATAGAAGTGGCAGGAGTGAAATAGCCCTAGGAGGAA